ATCAATGCCACGTAGAATTAAGGCAGTTCTGAAGGCGAAAGGGGGTCAAACACCGTATTAGTATGGTGTTCCTAATAATCCTTTAGGTGAGTGTATGTGGTCTACTATAATAAATAATAGTGCAGAAGCAATAAATTATGAACAAAGCCTTCTAAAACAGTAGGATACTAATATCTATAATGGAAAAAAAATATTTTAAGGCTTTATTTTGCACTAACCAGGTTAATCAGGTGTGATTTGTACCACATGCTCTGTGACTCTTTAGTGGAGTAAGTTGATTATGTCAAAGTCTAGATCAAATTTTGTATGAGGCCATTTAAAAGTTCCTGCAACAATACGCTAAATTAGAACAATTAGGTAACACAAAGCCTGTGGTATAACAACGTATAATGACCCATGCTGAGGCCAGGCCTACCCAGAATTCCCATGAGCAAGTGAAATTTGCAAGTATGTCAACCTCAATGAATTCTTTTTTCATGAGCAAAAGCCAAACAGATACTGCTAATCCCACTGACTTGCATATTAATACATGCTAGTCAACCGAAAGGCTAAGCACTGAATCTGAATTGCACATGGGAAATGGAGGGGGCACTGTCCATAACACCAGATTGCTGTACTGTTCACACTACACAACTTGTCGTCTTGTAATCAGGAGTCTTTAAGTTGTTGTGGTTTACGCACTACAAGACTGATCAGCGGCAGGTGGTCACAAACTACAAGATCTTTCACCAGGAGGAATTGCTGATGAGTCCGTCTGGTCTCCAAACTGCATTTTGTCATGAAATCACACAAGAGAATGAAGAGAATGGCAAATCACAATTGTACTGTAAAAGCGCTACAAACCATTAAAACACTGTAATCGCATATGCTCAACATTTACAAACACGCAGCAAATTAACCGTCGTATATGCAGAACTTTCAGGAAATAGTATCACTTGGGTCTTTAGTGACCTGGCAGTTCACACATAGTGATTGAGCACTGATTGAACACTGATTTGCTTTTGTCTGTGATCTCCAAAAACTGTTTGGTAAGTAGAAAACCGTGGCTAATATCATTTAGCATGAACTCAGCTTAAGCAGGACTTCATTATATGGCTACTATTTGTGGGACTCCCAGGGATTTATACCCACAACCTTCACATTATTAGCACAATTCTCTACTTGTGGAGCTACAGGAATTAGGTTATGGTTTTGCTGAGGAGCTCCAATTCTAATCCTGGAGAGCTATGCTCCAGTAGATTTTCTACCCTACCTGGTTTCTGACGAGCCACACCTGGTCCTGTTATTCACCTTAATTCTGAACAACTGACATCCATCCATCCATCCATCCATTCTCCATCATTTATCGAGGTCCAGGTCACAGGGGCAACCACCTCCTCTGGTTCCTCCAGAGGAATACCAAGGTGTTCCCAGGCCAGCCGAGACATACAATCTCTCCAACGTGTCCTGGGTCAGCCCCATGGCCCCCTCACAGTTGGACATGCCCAAAACACCTCCCCAGGGAGCCATCCGGGAGGCATGAATGTCTGAGCTCCTCACCCTGTCTCTAAGGCTGAGCCCAGACACCCTAAGAAGGAAACTGATTTCCAACACTTACAGTGAGGGAAATGATTATTTGACCCCCTGTTGAATTCCTTAGTTCATTTGTAAAGAAATGAGAAGTCTATCATTTCAGTGGTTTATTTTAACATCAGAAGATTTTCAACAAAACAAACAAGAAAAATCATCACGTAACAGGTAAAAATCAATTTGTCATTTATCTATGGAAATAATTATTTGATCCCCTACAAGTCAGCAAGAAATTAGGTCAAGTACATGTGCACTAACACAACACAAGTAGGACTTAATTAAGTATTAACAGATACCAAGCAAGCATCCACATTTAATGGTATTACTTTGTTAAACAGTATTCCTGGGTCACTTACCTGTCTACATCTTCAACCTTATCACCATGGAAAATACCAAAGAGCTGTCTAAGGACATCAGAGACAAGATTGTTGACCTTCACAAAGGTGGAATGGGCTACATGACAATCAGCAAGCAGCTTGGTGAAAAGTGTCAACTGTTGGTGCAATTATTTCGCAAATGACAAAAAGATAAAATAACTGTCGATCGCCCTTGGTCTGTGGCCCCAAGGAAGATCTCATCTCGTGCGGCATTAATGATCTTAAGAACAGTGAAGGCTAACCCCAGAAGCTTGTTAATGATCTCAAAGCAGGAGGGACCACAGTCTATATTGCTAAAAGTTTTATCTATTACCCAATGGATATTATTAAATGCATTTATCACTTTCATGTCATTGACAGCATTTATGATTTTAACAGAGCTGTCCTGGAATGTGAGTCTGAATGGAGAGAGAAGTAATGGACACATCTTCTTGTGGTGCTCCAGGAAGTCGTGTGTAAGGACGTCCATCATCCAGAGGCACGTGGCTGAGTTTACATTGAACAGCTTGTGTAAATGAATAGTACTGATGGCAGAGCTGTAATCCATGCATGGGACACATGCTTATGTGTTAGGAGTTTAGATGTGGTTCCCTGTCAGGTGGAGAGCCAGGCTGCTTCCTCTGGGACTTTTGGGGAGAGGGATTCTAGTGGACGGAGGAGTTAGAGACACCAGAGCTAGCTGGGTGGTGCAGTGGGCAGGCATGGCAGGACTTAAATGGCCTGATTCTGCCACTTTATCACAATTTTCTTGAAAATGGATCATTTGGCGTAGAGACAAACACTGAGGGCTAACACTAGGAAAGAATAGGAAACTAGTAGGGAAAACACACAAGGGTCTAGTACAAAGCCAGGAGGGAACAGAATGGCTAGCAACACCTGCTGGCTATGTGGGGAAGTGACATGAAGGGCAGGGATGGACGATATGGTTTCCTCATTGATGAGGAACAAAGGTGAGAAGGAGTCATTAGACAATGTAATCCCCTGTGGGTGTAGAAACCTAAGGTTGAGTTTAGCAGGGAGCAGGGCTGGACTGGCCATCTGGCATACTGAGCATGATCAGGTTCATCCCAATGTTTTGCAGGCCAGCAGATTCCCCCCCCCCACACACACATACACACACATACACATACCTGGCAAAATTTCTTCTTGGGGAACCCCAAAGCTCAGGGCCAGTTTTTAATCTCAGTACCATCCTGGCAGAGAGGTCTAGATCATTATCAGATGGATAGACAGGCAGTTTTTCAGTTTTTAGTCATGTTTTATAAGTTCCTCCAGACATTTCTGGTGTCTGATTATATTTAGTTCAGCCACATTTCCTGTTTCTAAATCGCCTAGGACTATAATCTCAGAAATCATGGGCAAAGGAAATATATTCAAGTTATTCTGGTTCAGATAACGAGAATTCTAAGTGGACCAATTACCAAAACAGTCCGTTCTGACTGTTGGACAAGGGTGGAGGCGACTGGACTATAGGAGAGTGTCTGGGAGGTTTGATTGGTCACATATGTGTGGGAGTCGTTTTTTCATAACAATCGTTTCAAATGAAAAAGTAGCAACATAAAGGTGCAGCAGTCACACCGCCCAGAGAGTACCTGCTTCATACGGCGCCACGCGCAGTGTCACTCGTTAAATTCTCTACATCAGATCACTGGAAAGCTTGCAATGAGGAGGAAAATTGCGCATCAAGTCAACTTCATTCTCTTGGTTTACTGCCTTCTCAGTCTGCCCGTAATTATGGGTAAGAATTCAATTTTTATATTGCATTTAAAACTAGGCCTACTTATTTAGTATTATACTTGCTTATGTAATAAAAACTAATTTAAATATATCGTACATTACAAAATCAATTAACAGTGTTTGTACATTTCTTATTCATACATAGGTTATAAATTGCACGACAATTATACAATAATTCGTTAAAATGTTTCTTTCAATATGTGCAAAAGAAAGGAAAAATACTTTTAGTACAGAAAAAATGTACCGTTCTAAGCGAAAATTGGATTTATGCAATTAGGAAAAGCTTATTAATGAAGTATTTTTTTCTCGAAAAAATTACGGTGGTAACACTACTTGACGGGGCACAAATAATATAGTATTATGCTATTAGGCTACTTATACGTATTAATTAACCACAAACTAAGTCTTAGTTTCAGACTAATTTCATGTTAATTCATCATTAATGAATCGTGACGCATGTTTTATCTCAAGCAATTACTATGTTACTATATTTGTTAATTCTGTAAACCTTTCTGAACTACTGTTCAGAATTAGTCATGAATAATACGTTAATATTGATCTCATATTTGTTCATCATTAAAGAATCATGATGGAACTTTTATCCTAAGCAGTTTGTATATTTGTTACTATATCTGTTAATTGTGTAAACCTTTGTGATCTACTGAAAGGACTGAACGATCAAGTGATGAATTACACAAATGAAATACTGATCTAATGTTTGTTCGTCATTAATGAATCGTGACGCTCTTATCTCAAGTAGCGACTACATTTGTCCATGATTTGTACTTCATCAGTAAGTAAGTTATTACTTAGTGTTTATGCCCCGTTAGGTGAAGTGTTACCGTTATGGTCTGCTTTGGGTTGGAAGTGATCAACGCCCTGAACTTCTGTTTTCCCTTGAAGGCTTTCCCAGATGGCTCCCTGGTTGTGTGGAGGGTTTTTCATTGACGCAGGTATGTGTCGGATACTCTGATATGTGAACTGTAAGGTGTTGGCTGGGGAGACGGGTTTTTGTTCTAGTTTTTGTCCATCTCTTGTCATCCGCCTCGGACCGCCTGAGAGCAACTTTAGGAAGGAGCGAACAAGGTATGAGGACTTATGAAAGCTGCACACTTTTTGATTTAAAAATAGACAGGTTGTTGATCATTGCTTGAATGTCATTGTGTGCATTACACAATAACGCCGTATAACTATAGGCTACTGAAAATATCATCGATGTGTCAGGTGCACTGATGATTAAGAAACAATATTTCTCAGAGCGTGTATTAAGCGTTCTGACAAAACAGACCATTTTCAGTTAAGCCAACTAAGCTCTGTAACTTAATTGCTATATCTGAAAATTGAGTAAGCTAGTTTTGCAAAAGACGACAACGCTCTGTTTCGCAGGCTGAGGAGTCGATGATGATGTTAGGGTCTGGGTGTTCTTACCTAGCTTTTCGTTGTTGCAAGTTGGAATAACTTACAGATTGCATAATTTCTTATTTGTCTATTCAATGCTCATTCAAAATTAAAATAATGATGGTCATCAAGAAAAAAATATATGTAGCCTATATATAAAAATCAGTGTTGCGTTCGAGTTCACCTTAGTCGAGTCCGACTCAAAACCATATCTTCAACAAATCGACCACAAGTTCAATTAGGCTATAGACTATGAATCTAAATGAAAAACAAATTGAAGACTAAGCAAATATGACATGATGGGG